ACGTTTCTTCGTCAAAAAATATGAACAAAGTCGAAATATTTGGACAATCTAAACACTGTATTGTTATGTATTTTTCTTAAAATTTTTTTGTGAAGCTCTTCATGATATGTTCTTTTAGATATTACTTAAGCCAGACTTCGCACGACCTCGCACCAATGTCAAATTCCATATTATATCAAGCAGAGTCTGTACGAAAAATGGTTACCCAAGAGTTGCGACTGATGAATCAGATGCAAGTTCACACTCCGACAGTGACATTTCGCATGCATAATTAAAAAACAAAAACATATATTAAAAAAAACAAATATGTAGTTATAAGTTATATATTCATTAAAAAAATAATTGAATATATGTATTAAACAATTTTACAATCAAAATTGAAATAGTGTTTTCTTTGCAGTGTAAAGCTTTAATTAATTTAAACTGTAAATAAGTTTTTCGATTATATTGGTCTCAGAGCCCTTGGGAAGGTTAAAAACTATATTTCCAACATCTACATAAACTCCTCTTTCTCTTCATCAGAATCGGTAGAAGTTAAGAAAGTACCTCGAAGGTGTTCACACAGGTTTTGTCAGGACTGGGCCAAAAATCAATATCTTTGCATCACACGATGGGGTAACAAGTATTCAAAAGATGAAGCAAATGTGACCATAATTAGGATTCTTTAGGGTAGCTCTCAATCTCTGAGCCCCCTATTGGAAGAAACCTTTATAAACCTTTCCATAAAATAACAATCACTCAAAGCGATTTTGAAATCTGGGAGAAAATTCTTTCCAATTGAATGATTCTTGCCATTTTATGGTTTGTATATGTAGGCGTATCCATAACCTTATCATAAGTAGTTCTAGAGAGTAGAGTTCCAATACAAACCACTTTTCGCCATATGTACGTTAGCAAAAGCGGTCCATAGATAAGCGATATTTGAAATTCGGTTTGTATAGGAGATGCCATGTCCCCAGCTTCTGATTGAATTGTTGAACCACAAGCCAGAACTCCTCCTATGCCTGAAGAACTGGTTCTCAATACAGTTAATGCAATAACAGCTTCTTCCAAGCCATTAAAAACATGCACTTTGTTAGGTCCACCACCTGTTGCGCTTGCTTCTGCCTTCGGCCGCGCTTAGGGATTATAACCCTTACTAAGTAGAATTCTCCTTTCTGTGTTGCCGGAGAAGAGGGGTTTCCGCATGTCAAAGCTATACAACATTTCTTGTGAATATCACTCCGGCGGTAGAACACATATCGAAATTTGCAAAAAAAGCGTATAGTGCAAACCGAATTTATTAATAAGCTAGTGGTCGGAAATTTGAAACATTTATTTTAAATAAAAGCTTAATCTTGGAACGAATTTGCGTCATCCCCTGTCAAGTTTGCTTCGCAGACAAACCGGTTTCGGTGATGTGCCATCTTCAGTGACATTTTCGTTTCGTGACAAGGGATGACGGAAATTCGTTTCAAAATAAATCATCTTACCACCATCTCGGAAAAAGTTTAATCCTTTGATTACACGTGTATGTTAATGGTTTTGGATTCGGGTTATGCGTTTGGACACAACAACCTTGTACAAAGAACTAAACCGGACCCAAGTTTCTCGATAAGGGGCAGCACAGATTCTTTTTTGCTTGTTTATATAAAGCAGTGGATAAAAATATACGTATATGCGAAATGTTTAAATGAACACCACTAATATTTCCTGCAAACACACATCGATTTACATGTTTTATCTCGCCTCCGACACAGAATTGTTTTCGTACAAAATTACGCAAAAAAACTTACTCGTTCGTTTTTAGGCACGTCATTGTTACGAATTTCGAAAGTTTGAAAATACGATTCGGATTGCAGCATACTATTACGAATACGAAAGAGTTGCAGAATAGGGGTGGAAATTAATTGGTCCTCGTATGTATGTACATACATATATGCATGTGTGTGCACCAATCTATTAANCGTCATTGTTACGAATTTCGAAAGTTTGAAAATACGATTCGGATTGCAGCATACTATTACGAATACGAAAGAGTTGCAGAATAGGGGTGGAAATTAATTGGTCCTCGTATGTATGTACATACATATATGCATGTGTGTGCACCAATCTATTAATATCGTTAAATTATTTTAATATCTATTGCAAAATTTTGTACAGACTAGACTAAAAAGTAGAAAATAAATAAAATAAATAAAATAAAAAAGCTTTATAATATACCACGCTTTTATAAATTGACTAAAAAGTAGAAAATAATATTTCTCAGTCCCATAGAATTAGTTTTAATAACTTTTGATTTTGAAATTTTAGCAAAGTCATTATAAACAATTTATGAGATTGGAAATGAAAAGCACGGAGCCCATGTAATAGACTTGCATTGATATGAAAAGTAATGTATGTATTTATATACGTGGGTATATGAATGAGGATCTCTTAAAATCGATCTCAAAGTTTGTACTTGCGCTGTAGAGATTTTAGGTCTATGTTATGTAGTTTTACTATTGTCAATTAAATCGAATTCTTTGTATTGCATGCGCTCCACGTCTTTCGTTTTCAATCTCATAAATTGTTTATAATGATTTTAGATAAAGTTTCAAAATCAAAAGTTATCAAAACAAATTCTATGGGACTGAGAAATCTTATTTGCTACTTTTTAGCCATGGCTAATATGGCTCATGATACAAATATTTAAAGGTAAAACCGCTCGCTCAATTCGTTGGTCATCATTTAGTTTTTGAAGTTTGTCTACTTTATAAAGTTTAAATTTTGGAAGCAACTGAAATGCCAAATAAAAGTAAAACAAAAAATAAATAGATGAAAATTTTAAAATTTTCTTTTATTTGAGACTGAAAATGAGAATGTATTTGTGAGATTGAATATTTGAAAACATTTTTGTTATGTTAGAAAACTTCAAAAATGTTAAGGCTGCCTCTCAGCGGTTTTACCTTCAAATATTTGTATCATGATAATAACATAAGAAGGTAGAACCGCTGAGAGGAATTTTTCATATTCTTGACGTTTGCAAGCATTTTAATTTTAAAATTTTAGACACAAGCTCACACACACATTCTCATTATAAGCTTTTATTTAACTTGGTCATCCCGCGCAAATCGTGGAAATTTCCAATCGATTTTAAACTAACTTCCCGACAAGTTAGAGACTTGAAATTTTCAGCATAGTTCCAATCACGATGACAATGCAATTTAAAATATAAATGAATTCCCTATATGGTCCAGGGGTCTTGATTCAAAGTCGATCAAAAATTAGTAAAATTTATGGCTAACAGAGCGTAATTTGCCAAAGAACGTAAAACCAGAGCAAAGCTATTTATGGCAAATTCTAGATATCAACCTAGTCTAGATATGAACCTCGTTGTAGGCATCATATCAAGGAGATACAATTAGAAGACTCGAGAAGTTTCCCCGCCAGAAGAACTTTAATATTGCGCCTAAATATATGCCATGCTACAGCGGAAGTGGACGACACGCCATTTCTTTAAATGAAATTAACTGCTGCTATATGTATGTATGTACATATGTATGTTTATACAAAACGTAAGCAAACAACATTTTGCTTGCATAGTCTTCTGTTCTCTTTCATTGCAAGTTGAATTATTTTAATATCTATTGCAAAATTTTGTACATAAAATAAAATAAAACTATTTAATATACAACGCTTTTATAAATGGACTAAAAATTAGAAAATAAAGTAATGTAAAAAAAATATTTTTTTAAAAATAAGCTTTTATTTAACATGTTTAATCAAAGGAATAAAATAAAGTAGTGAAACAAAAGATTTTTTAGCAAGAAAATTTTGTCAAAACTGCACTAAAATGAATAAAATAAAATAAGTTAAGGTCTCGTTAAAGTTACTAAAAGCCATTTAGTGAAAGGAGTTATTCAAACTCTAATGAAAATTACTAACAATTTGTACTAATTTACTTCGTTTTTAAAAAAGCTTGTCGCGCGAATAGCAAACCGGCATTTAAATATCTGCATACATACATATGAATGCATACATACCTAACCAATTATGCATGTACGCTGAATTCGCCGACAAGCTTTTTTAAAAACGAAGTAAATTAGTACAAATTGTTAGTAATTTTCATTAGAGTTTGAATAACTCCTTTCACTAAATGGCTTTTAGTAACTTTAACGAGACCTTAACTTATTTTATTTTATTCATTTTAGTGCAGTTTTGACAAAATTTTCTTGCTAAAAAATCTTTTGTTTCACTACTTTATTTTATTCCTTTGATTAAACATGTTAAATAAAAGCTTATTTTTAAAAAAATATTTTTTTACATTACTTTATTTTCAATCTCAAACAACAACAGCTTTGAACAATTCCTTTTTTTACTCTCAGTTTTATATGATTTTAAAATGTTGGCAAACTTCAAAAAAAAATCATGGCCGACGAATTGAGAGAATGGTTTTACCTTACCGCTGAGAGTCACTTTCAAAATTCTTGACGTTTCCAAACAATTTAATTTTTAAATTTACTCACAAACTCACACACACATTTTCATTTTCAATCTCAAGCAACAACAATTTCGACCGATTTCATTTTTTTATTTTCACTTTTATATGATTTTAAAATGTTGGCAAACTTCAAAAACCGAATCATGGCCGACAAATTGAGAGAACGGTTCTACCTTGCTATATTTTTATCATGGTTTGTATCATGATTATGGCTGACGAAAATTGTGAGTGAAACTACCTTCATATTTTTGTATCATGTAATATTTGTATCATGCTAGCAAAATAGAAGTACTACATACATACATATATGCAGGAAACCATGGCGCATGTACACATATTTTACTCTCGTGTAATTTAATTTGATGAAAATTTATTGCGTCGCAATTTTTACTCGCGTGTTTTGGCACAATGTTTTTTAAACATTTTTTGTAACCTTGGTGATCAATCAACTTGTTTGTTTGGGTTGGACAAAGCTGTTCAGTGATTATTCAATCTGAAGACGTACGAAACGAAATAAAATAAAATATATTTCTTTCTGATGAGATTAATACGAAAAGACAAACCTTTCAGCCAGAGGATTACAAGATGGGATCGAATTCGTAAACGAAATGACTGTAAAAATTCTTGTTCAATTAATTCAGGCATTGTACAATATTTCTTTTGGAAGGAGTACATCAGCCCATATGATAATTCAGTGCTATGTGGCAAAAACGAACCAAACAAAGCACTAAATCCTTTGGTAGTTATGGATATACGTCATGAAATGGTAATAAAAGCATAATTATGTGGCTTTTGACACATTTAATCAGTAAATTGATTTTATTTATAATGTAACAATGAATCATTTATTTAATGGTAATAGTTTCAAAAGACACCACGAAAATCGGCGCTGGTTACAGTGGGCGGCCAGCGTACGTTAGACGCGTGTATATCACATAATCTGGTTGTAGAGGATCGTTACATCAACAACGAACTAAAAAAAATCCGCCAGCAGTTACGAAACAATACTAAACGAAATACAGATAAAAAGGAATTTACAGAAGAGCACAAACAAGATGTAAGTATTTTGGACAACAGTTTTCTAATACAAGGCTTAGAAAGAGCAACTAAGCATATGGAGAACTTTTACACAACACCTCTGGATGTATTGCAAGCAATTGAAGTGTTATCTGCCACCGAAACAAATAAGAACGACACACAAGAGCATAAATTAACTCCAAAGAATGGCTTTGGAATAATTGAGGCAATCTTTACGGATGAAGTGGACAAAAAGAAATATACAATGAGCGCAGTTAGCAACCGAGGCCATGCTTTAGGAAAATATATACAGAGAATTAATACTCAGAATTATAAACACGAAATATTACAGGAAACCGTTTTAAGCAAACATATTAACCCTCAAGCAAAGGAATATGAGTACAAAATTGTGTCTGATAGCAATTTAAAAATAGAAAATCCGCTTATTTACAAATTCTCGAATGAATACAAAAATCCCATTGCTCCTAATACTGCAACTGATAGTTATTTATATCAAACGCGATGTGTACGTTTTGATGAATCGGTAGAAGTAAGAAACTTTAATCGAGATAGCTCTAAACTTTCGAATACCAGTTGTAGAATTGATTTGGCTGTATCGGATATAACTGAGGAGGCACTTTTTGAACTGCAAATTGCAGCTGAAGAAAAATTGACTCAAAAAACACGGTTCGAATCAGTAGCAAATAAACCGCCACCAACTGATTTCAATAAATCTTTAAAATGCTCTCAAAAGTCTCTAAAAGTTAAAAATGCATCAGAGCTCCTGATTATTAAAAAAATAAATAATGCGAATCAAGTAGATTATGATCATATTACTCCTGAAGAGGTAGAAGAAGAAAGCATTTCCAGCTTTGAAGAAAACTTAAGTATTACACAACTCTTCCAGCCAAGAGCCAACACCACTCCCACATTGCTACGAAAATATTTTTTTAATTGGATTCATTTCGTCACCATTGAGAAAATTGATCGCGAAAATGTGTCTATCAAGGATAATCGCATACATAAAATTAGTTTGTTTTTGGACAAAATACGGAAGGAAAAATTGCGCTTGATGCGTAGTTACCGTCAATTTACTGCTGCACTGGGCCGTAGGGCAGCTCAACCCAAACCAGGGGTTTCAACACGAGTAACAAAAAAATATCTAAACAAGTAAGTAATTCGGAAATATTTAAAATTTTGAGCTGATGCCAGAAAAAAGACTCCTACATATATTTGTACAACTCAAGGATGCATTGTAACGTTAATTCTAGCGTTTACAAAAGAAAAGCAATCGCTTCTGTTGAAGCGATTCAGTTTTTTACAGAGACATAACTATTATAAGAGAAAAGAATAAAAGTCAGTCAATAATCATTTTATTAAGATAAATATTTTTCGAGTCATCTACAATTATTATTCAAGGACTTATATTATAAAAGTCCTTTCATAATAATTATCAGAAAGATAAATATGTTTAAGTTTTCAAATACTTTTATTTTAAGACTTATATTATAAAAGTTTTTTTTTTAATAATCATCATTGAGATAAATATTTTTAAGTCTTCAAAGACTTTTATTTTATGACTTATATTATAAAAGTCTTTTCATAATAATTATGAGCGCGGAAAAATTTTTTAAGTCTTAAAAGACGGGACTTGTTCAGGAGCATTTCAGGATTAGTTGGGGACCAGTTCGGGCCTTGTTGGGGAGCAGTGTGGGCCCGTTCGGGACTATATACAAAATTTTTTCGCACTGATAATTATTATCAAAAGACTTTTATAATATAAGTCTCAAAATAAAAGTCTTTGAGGACTTAAAAATGTTTATCTCAATGATAATTTTTATGACAAGATTTTTATAATATAATTCTCAAAATAAAAGTCTTTGAAGACTTAAAAATATTTATCTCGGTGATAATTATTCGGCCCTATTCCCATTGTCGAAACGACAGTCGTTCGTCGAAATTTGAGATTTTCATTGGCGTTATGAGGCAACCAGTGACATAATCCATTACAAATTTTTATTCCTATTATCTCTTCGAAATGAAGAAGTATTGAAAACGTGTTAAAATCTGCCGTTAATTTTTTTATTTACGACATAATTCAACGAACGACTGTCGATGCGAACGACTTATGACAACCAGAATAGGGGTGATTATGNTTTTTTATTTACGACATAATTCAGCGAACGACTGTCGATGCGAACGACTTATGACAACCAGAATAGGGGTGATTATGAAAATACTTCTATCATATAAGTCTTAAAATAATAGTTATCGATGACTTAAAAAAATTTTCTCTCACATAATTATTATCAAAAGACTTTTATAATTCTTACGAAAATTTTGATGACTTCTTTAAAACTCTACCATGAAATAATTATTATTCTGGGCCTCTGGTTTTTTTATCGTTTAGGTAATTTTCAAAATAATCCAATTTTGGTTATTAACGAAAAGAAAGTCAATCGTTAATTCTGAAGCTGTAGCATGCATTTAGGTGCTAGGTGTTAATAGCAGGGTTCGGAAATTCTCATTTATGATTCGTTTTCATTCATTTATGAGATTTATCATGATCGATAATATTTCAAATCTATTTTTGAATTCTTTTATCGCGAGTGAAAAATGCAAACAAATTTATCATCTCTCACATTCGGAATGCGATCGACAAAAAAATTTCCGCTCTTTTTAATTCGCGATCGAAAAAAGCAAAGAAATTTCCTCTCACTCGAATATGAGAAGTCCGAGCATTGCCGATGTCGGCCTGTCATAAATGAGAAAAACGATGCAAGTAATCCATTCGCGATCACTCACAACAACTTATCGCGATAAACTTATCGCGAAAAATTTTCAACGACGTTGTATGGATATTTTTCGCGTTTGTTTTGGTTATGCATTTTGTTATACATACATACATTTTTATATGTAAGTAATGCAAGCAAATCCTTTTCGGTTGGAACCAGGGTGTCCAGATTATTAAAAAAAGCGCAATTTCTGAAAAAAATCGCCGTTTTTTTTAAATAAAATTCATGAAATCGACTTAACAAACCTTTTGTTTTAAGGTATCCACTAGACCGTTCGTTAAAAATAAAATTTGGTTTGCCGGGCGGAAAAAGATGTGTTTTGGTCTAAAAATAAGCTGTGCAAAATTTTATTCGAATATGATAACTCTAAGTACTTGCGCGTTGCATTTGAAAATTTAGAAAACCATATGCATTCTGGGAAAAATTTTTTTAACAAAATAGTTGAAAGTCGTGAATTTTATAGTCATTTGCCATGTAAAATAACCTACACAATCTGAATATGAGGTCAAAAATTAAAAAAGTAGAATAGGTTTTAAGAATTTGCGAAATTATCGTTTTTTTCAAATTGAGAAAACAGCATTTTCAATTTTTTCCAAAAATATCCGGTTGTGATTATCACACCACAAAAAGATCTCCACCAGATTAAAGGTCTTTGAAATCCCTACGAACCTGCTATACAATGTTTTGCAATCAAATTATCAGTTTAAGAGTTATCTGCCAATTTATTAGTGAAATCGGACACAATTTTAAGTCGCATCGTTATTCTACTGTGCACGGTGGGCAGGAAGCGAAGATAGGTTGCATAAAAATGTCGACAAAATCTGAAAGCAGGGTTGTATTTGTTGATATCTTAAGGTTAAGAATCCGCTTAAATTGAAATCCTAGCTGCTCCTGTTTTAAAGATATCCACATTTTATATACTTCTGATAGGATATATTTGCAAAAGAGGAAGGCGTACTTCTCGATAATTAGAGCATATTTATACGAAAAGAAATCTCATACAAATCTGTTCCCCTTTTTTAACTCACTAAAACGGATCAAATCAATGTTCAGTTTTCATTTTTTCCTACCGAAAGAATAATTGATCGAGATTTATTGGGCGCTACCGGTATACAACTTAGATAAAACACCACAATTACCTTTTTCTGTAGCGTGAACTTTCTCATTACAAACACTTTCAATATCGCAATATAGTATGTATGTATACAATATTGTATGCTATATAATACGGTAGTAATTTTTTATTAAAAGTTTGTTGCTATAAGCAAGTAGCGCAAGCAAGTCGCACTGCGCTTGTGCAAGAAATAAAAATGCTCTAACTTAGGCCAACGGTACTCCGCATAATAAGTAAATAAATTCAAAGCTTGTATGAGATTTATTTTGGTATTTATGTACTCTTCTGTCAGGAAATAATGACTATTGTACATCCAGAACACAAATGCGATCATAAAGAAAATCGCATGAAAGTATGCGCTTTGTGTGTAGGGCTGCCAGACGTCCTGGTTTTCCCGGACATGTCCCGGTTTTAGACTATTTGTCCCGGTGTCCCGGTCCAACCTTAAAATGTTAAGTGTCCCGGTTTTCGATTTGATTGCACAAATTTTGCTTAAAATGACTACGCTGAGAGAAAAAAGGCGTTGTAATATTAAGAAAAATTTTATGAATTTACTGGGGGAAATAACGCATAGTAAACATGAATATGTTTTATTTGATTATCGTTTTGAAATGTTCGTACTTAAAAACAATACTTTCATACCACGCACACGTGGTGTTGAATCAAACTGAACATTTGATGCACATTTACATGTCTGGCTGTAGCTGAGTGCACGAAGATGCTTGCCACAATTTGCTAATTTCCAGAGCGTCAGGGTTTCCATTACAGACAGCATGGAATTTAAATAAATTTTTTTTAACTTAATTATGAAAAAGCATCCGTTAAGTGCAAAGCGCTTCATTTTAATATTGGCGTATTTCAATTGAATATTTCTATATCTAAATACTAAAATTTGTATACTTAAATTATTACGAGTTGGGTTGGTGCTCTTTCAATGCGATTTTTTTTTTAAATGTAGCACGTTTTGCATAAGCAATAGTTGATGATTAATATAAGTATGTACCAAATACGTTAAAATGACATGCACAGAGTTTTACAATTATAGCAAAAGCCAGAAGCTTTGAAACAAGCTCACAGCAACGAAACAAATGACTGATATTTTAATGTTGCCTTGTATTTGTTTTTTTTTTCGTGAAATCCTAGATCTACTTATAAGTACCGTGCCGTACAAAATTATTGGCTCGGAGACACTTTCATCTGATCACAATTTCTAATCAGATCTTTTAGAAAAATGTTTAAAATGCAGCTTTTGAGCCAATTAGTAAAGTGCAAGTCTGAAGTTACCAGAAAATTTCGTTGATTTTTTGCAATTATTTATTTTTTGCTGACAGTGTCTTCCACATACAAAAAAATGTCGAACATAGTTTGTATGGAAGAAACTTTCAGTAAAAACAATACCAAATATATTGCCTCGTTCAAAGCCATGAGCAAAATCGTGAATACATGGTTTTCCGCAAAACAAGCGGATCTTAGTAATTTTGATAAAAATCTTAACGAACTCCGGACAGCTTTGAAAAGTACTGGAATTTCTCAAACTGTCAAAACCCATTTTATCCTTAAACATTTAAAGCAATCTATTTCATTCTTGAATAACGATGGTTTAGGATTATGGTCCGAGCAGGCCGGGAAGTCAGTTCATAGGGAATTCATTAAATTCTGGGATGATTCAAAATAAATATGGATTGATAAACCAATTTTTGTGAGTCGCCTGAAGAAAACTGTAATGACATTTTCATTCCAGCTATATAAAAACTTAACTAAATAATAAAATATTTAAATACTAAAATGTGTGACTATATTATATGGTAAGCCAACAAAAAAATAAAAGGAAACAAAAAACAAATATAAAAAAATAAAGCAAGAAAAAAATAAAACCAAAAAAAGAACAAAGAGGTGCAAAGTAAGTTGCCTCTACGTGGTGCGCCTTGGAAACGATTGAAAACGGCTAAAAACTTACATAAACTTATATTTTTACATAATATATATACACACATTTACTCACACATACATTGTTGAATATTTAATGCACAAGGATGTTTTTCTCTTTCGCAAAAGTCGGTCCTATCATAGCTATGTAAAATGTGGATATCTTTAAAACAGGAGCAGCTATTATTTCAATTCAAAGGGATTATTAACCTAAAAATATCAACAAATACAACCCTGCTTTCAGTTTTTGTCGACATTTTTATGCAACCTATCTTTGCTTCCTGCCCACCGTGTGCAAACAAAAGCTCACTTCCCAAAGCTATGATCGATCAGCT